GACGGCAGGGCAAGGCCCGAGCCTCCCTGAAGCTCGGGTTGTGGGGAAGGGAGGGGACTGGGACCGGATGTCCTTGCTCTGAGGAGCCTTTCACCTCAACTCTTCACCCCTTCCTGGGCATCGCACTGGCACCGGAGGGTGTTTAATGAAGCTGCCTGTTTTTCTCCACCTTTAGGAATATTCCCTCACACCCAATGGTTATTTTGTTTTAGGACTTCTATTCTCTTACCTGGTTACGTTCAGAACACCTTAGAAGATGATCTCTGAAACCAAATGAACAAAAGTAGGGTAAAGCCTGGAATGAGAGAGTCTCTGTAACTTTAAGGAACTAAGTTTAATTCCACTTTAAAGCTTCTTAACAGGGGCGCCTGGGTGGCTCAGTCGGTTGAGCGTCCGACTTCGGCTCAGGTCATGATTGCACGGCCTGTGGGTTCGAGCCCTGCGTCGGGCTCTGTGCTGACGGCTCAGAGCCTGGAGCCTGTTTCAGATTCTATGTCTCCCTCTTCCTCTGACCCTCCCCTGCTCGTGCTCTCTCTGTCTCAAAAATAAATGTTGAAAAAATAATTAAAAAAAAAAAAAGCTTCTTAACACAATTGCATTTGTAAATGCACTTAGAGTATGACCTTCTTTTCTAAAGTACCCTCTCTGGCCAGGAGGTGAAGCAGTGGTCAAGTTTATTCCATTTCAGGCAGATTCTCAATATCCATCCCACTTTGCAAATAACACGCCATCCTTCTAAAGCCCAGAATCGGGCCCGCAGGATCCCTAACTACAATTTGTAGCCTGACTCACTTCCCAAAACTGCCAGCTGTAGCTCCTATAATGATCGATACAAAATCTCTCGCAATCTTTGCTGAAAAAAAAAAAAAAAAAAAAAAAAAAGAAAGAAAAAAAAGAAAAAAAGAACGCCCTCCTCCGATAAAACTATCAGATTAGGATGAAGGGTGTTTCTCATTTTTACACAGTGGAAACCTTAAGTATTTCCTTATCACAGTAACTTTTGAGAGAAATACTTTGTTCGGTAGCTTAATAATCAATAGCCAACCCAAGAGTCTTTCAGTCTTTCAGTTCTGATTCTGCCTTCTTGTGTTTGGGTGGCTCTAAACAAATGGCAATATTTCAGTATTTGAATTTCTCATCTTTAAAAGATGGATAGTATTTCGTGGACCCAAAGAATAACCAGTAAAAATCCTGATTTCTCATAAAAATTAAGATGTTTCACAGGAAGCATAACCTTTCGGGGGGCAATCTGTCAATATCTGCCAAAAATTTTATTTTATTTTTAAAGTTTATTTGAGAGCCCAAGTGGGGGAGGGGCAGAGCAAGGGAGAGGAGAGAGAATCCCAAACTGTCAGCCCCAAGCCGGACGTGGGGCTCAAACCCATGAACCAGGAGCCCATGACCTGAGCCAAAACCAAAAGTCGGATGCCCGACTGACAGACAGAACCACCCAGAGGCTCTGGTCTGCCCCAAATTTTAAAACACACATATCCTTCAAGTCAGCAATTCCACTTCAGGAAGTGTAAAGACTTATGCCTAAAAGGAATATACACCGATACTCATCACCGTATTGTTAGACACAGCAAAAAACAGGGAGCATGAATGACCATCAGTACTGATCAGATTATGGGACAGCATACTGTGTGACGTCACTTCTATGTCTGAATTGTACGACTAAAGAGGAAAAGAAAGTACATCGTAAAAACTCACAAGGATCTCTTTAACCACCCCCCCCCCTTTTGCAGATATTCTGACCATTACTGGCTTCCAGTCTCCACATACTCGACCCTTGCCTACCATTCCTCGTGTCATTATTTACAGATCTATCATAATCCCTTCTTGTTGTCCCAGATCTTTATTAGTACCTCCCTCTTTTTCAGTGGCTGGCCAGTAAGTTCAATTTATATAGAGGGTCCAAACCAACGGGCATGCCCAAAGGCCCAAGTTGATTACACTTCCTCCTGGCAGAAATGGTCTATTTTATTTTAGACCAGAATATGGGCACCGCATATTCTGGCGCGGCCCATTAAGCCGTGCTTGTGTCATCCGGTGTTGTGTGGTGTAGATTTCTACACCACGGCACGTGTTTAAACAGCAGCATTCCTAGAACAGAGCAACATCTTTGTCTTTTAACTCCAGGGAGCAACTTGGCTCCGACCCAGGGAATTTCCCAAGTTATGGCAAGTGTTAGCGCTACCGTTCATGTCTTTGCTATTGGAAGAGGACAAGAGAACGAACCAGCCTGCATCTTTTGCCGCATAGGGATCCAAACCATCTTCTGGCTTTTCCGTAGTTTTAAAAGGCCTTTCAAGTCATTTAAGAATGAATTAAAAAAAAACCCGCAAGTAAAAAAAGCTTGAACTCCCCGCCATCCCTTAACTAATAGAAGACCCTAATTACTAGCCAATGGTTCACACCCGAGCAACAGATTCCCAGCTATAGGCCGCATTCGATTTATTCACATTCGTAGTGATACCGTCATATGCAAAAAGCGGCTGCCAGGTACCGGAAAGAGAGCTATTTCAGGGCCTTTCAGAAGGCGTGTTGTACCAAACTGACCTGTATCTGAACTTTCATCATAGATTATGTGATGCCAAGCAAGGGAGTTGGCCGCATTTCTCACTCAAAGCATCACTATTTTGTCTCTCCAGTGTAGTTTTCCATATAGCCAGTTGCTATACAACTCTACGACCATTTTTCATCCCTGTGGTGCACAGGACACAAAAAAAGACTTCCTTTCTCAGACTTTACTCAAGAAAATGAACAGGTCCGGCAAATATCAACACCTCGATGGAAGACTACCAGAATTACAGCAACTAACCTGCCATGGTGCCACCCTTACAACAGGCAAGTCAGGGAACTGGGACTTGGGTTTTGATCCACACTCTGATGTTAAGTGCCCCAACTTTATACCGACTTTCTTCAGAAAATCTTTATGCCCGGGGCGCCTGGGTGGCTCAGTCGGTTGAGCGTCTCCGGCTCAGGTCACGGCTTACGGTTTGTGAGTTCGAGCCCCGCGTCGGGCTCTGTGCCGACAGCTCGGAGCCTGGAGCCTGCTTCGGATCCTGTGTCTCCCTCTCTCTGCCCCTCCCCTGCTCATGCTGTCTCTCTGTCAAAAATAAACATTAAAAAAAATTTTTTTTAAAGAAAATCTTTATGCCCCTCGTGCTGTGACTACTTCTAAACATGAAAATAGTTCTCGTACATAAACTTGAAAACAAATCCTCCCAATTGCACAAAGGCTTTATGCTGAATTACCTAAAATTCCAAGCCTAAGGGATACTGCTGAACACTACACAGGACTCTATTAGCTTCCTGATTGAAGACTTTTTCCTGTCAAGATCTGAAGCCAGTTAACACACCAAACACTCGTTTCCATTCTCAGCATCTGACAAAACTCGTAGATGACATACCCACCAAGTTGCAAGTTTCCTTCAGGCAGAATCCACTTTTAATTGGATCCCTTACTAGCAACAGATGTCGACCGTGGCGGTGCCTCTGCTACGGCAAGGATGCGCACGAAAGTCAGGAGACGGGCTTGTTCCTCTTGACTTAAGAATTCAATGAAGTTTTACACAATCGAGGCGTCTCCATGGACTTAGAAAATTGGTAAATTCAGCTTTATGATCACTATTGTGTTTTAACTGCTTCGGGTGCCTTGCTTTTGAAAAGCTACTATCTTGTTTAACCCAACATACTGAAAATAAATTTAATTTTTCCGCACCTAGATCTATAGCATCCTCTGAGAACAGGCTCAATGTTTGACAAAAACTTTTTATCATTAAGCTATTTGTAGTTATAAACCAAGTATTTTTAAAGGGAAGAACTTTGCCAGACCTTGTACTTGTTTAAATGGTGTCGGCTGAGAGATACTATTGGAAAGATTAAAATATGTATATATAACAAAACCTTAAAATCTTAAGTGAAAGCCATTTAACTAATATTTAAAACCTCTGCAATTATTAGTTTATTAGTATCATCCAGGACTCAGATGTTCAGTATTCCTCCTGAAATTACATAAACAAATGCAAATGGAAAGAATCCAAGTCAAAATTATATAACAAAACAGCACTCCATCACAAAAGCGTGTAAAATTACAAGAACGCTATTTTAAAACACTGGCACTTTAAGAGAACGATAATCTCAAAAACCACAAAATTGCCAAATTGTTCCCTAAACTGCTAAGTAGATAAACATGACTCTAATGAATGAGTTTGGGTTTCGTAAAGAAAAATCAAATTCAAATCCGATAACTCCTACTGAAATACAAAGTTTTAAGCGTCTTCTTCCCTCAGGCCTGTTTGATTTATATAAAGGAGCAAACTACAATATAGGAAAATATACCGGATTTTCAGTGTGGCATACATTTTAGAAGTTGGCCCAATTAATTAAAAATACCTTTAATGGAGAGTCAAGTTTCCTAAGAAATCCGTTATTTAGAGAAATAGAAGGCCCATTTACAATATTTTTTTTTTTTTTCCAGGGGAAACTGCTGGGACTAATGTCAACAAAAAATCTAATATGGCAGTCTTGTATTTTAAGCTCACGCTTTTGGGGATACATTCTCAGGTCTCCTTTAATGTGGGAACTGCAAATATAACTGCCATTACATGGTAATGGGAGTTAAAGAATGTAGAGTCCTCATGTAAAGATTAGAACATACTTTTTCTCTTAGTCCTTCAAGGACAGACTTTCAAAATGTTTGATTCTACTAATCCCATGCTGTGGTTACTCTTCACTTCGTAAATGTGACTGGGCTATGTGAAATCTGCCATCAACTGATCAAGATTGGAGTTTCAGTTATGGATGAAAACGGTCTCAATTCAACTTTTATTACCCTCATCATGAGTATGCAGGGTGTAGACAGAGCTTTTTATCAGCTAACTATATGAAAAGATAAACACTGTAATAATCCATGTGATCCAAAATGGGCAAAAGCAAAAGACTAGCTTCCCCTCAAGAAGAAAAATTTCAGACCTATGAAAAGGACAACAATACTAATAAAAAAAATTGTATTTACTTAGAAGCATTCAGAATGTCAACAAAACAGCTGCAACTTTTTTTTTTTGCAATTACAGAGTGGTATTCAGTTAACAGAACAACAATTATTTTGTATAAGCTGCATCAGAGACAACTGAAGATGAAAAAACTACCATCCCCATATATAACTAATTTGTGCTGTGCACCAACAAGAACCTGCTTTAAATTTCCATGCCAATTTACAACCCCCATACTGTACCAGGCAAGGTTAGTGGCTATTGGAAATACCACCGGGACAGGGCTATCTAAAGACACATTCGGTAGTGTGTTAACTATACAAAAAAAGACACTGTACAGTTTAAAAACAAATCTTACACAGCCTTACATTTCAATTTTTTTCTTTAAAAGGAGTGAGTTGTGTACAGGGGGGTTAAATGCTTTATAGACAAGAAAAAAAAACTGCGCTAGAACCAACTTATTCATCATCATCATCTTCTTCTTCTTCTTCATCTTCTTCATCTTCCTCCTCTTCCTCATCCTCTTCATCTTCCTCGTCCTCCTCCTCTTCCTTCTTTTTCTTGCTTTTTTCAGCCTTGACGACTCCCTTTTTTGCCGCGTCAGGCTTTCCTTTAGCTCGGTATGCAGCAATATCCTTCCAAAATAAAGTCAAGAAAAAGTGGAAGGAAAGACAGGACAGTTAAGCAAGGGGAGAAGGAAAAGTAACTTACCAAAAATCAAGATCCCAGTTACGCGAAAATAACCACGTATCTGCACTCACCCCGATCCCATAAACGCCTAGACGGAGGAATGCATATGAACGCACCGAGAGAACTGCAATTAATAACCCGTAACTCATGGAATGACATGGTCCAATATTTGCAATGTTGTGCGCCTCACTGAAGTACAATTAGGTACCACATCCTAACTTTAGTTGATTAAAACTAGAATGTAGAGACTTTGATTAAAGGGTAGACACTGCCACCTTCTGAATGCAAAACAGCAATCTACAGGTTTCTATCAGACCCTAATCCAGAGAAGGAAATTTTGTCTTAAAAGAAAAAAAAAAGTAAATCTGCCAGTAAGCATGCAATTAAGAAACATCTAGAAATCAACATTTTTCCAGATGACTAAATAAGCTAAAATTTAACTTGCTACTCGTATTCAAAGTATAGGAGATAAAGCTTTTTCTTTATCAACTTACTACACAGTTCAACATTATAACTTTTTTGAAATTAATAACTGTTATTGAAGGAAGGGAACACAAATACTTCAGGACAGGTTTATGAAGGACACGGTCTTCATTATCTTGCCCAGACTATTTTTATGTGTCTGACCATTTAAAATAATCACTTGACTAAAAGGGACTACCAGTAAATTTAAATCAGAGAATAACAAAGCCAGCTTAAGTGTATGGAAGCTGTACCCAAGTCAAAAAAAAAAAAAAAAACAAACAACTGATCTGAACTTCTATACTCTCTGAAGGATGGAACAGATTTCAGATTCAGCCAATGGCACACGGAAAGGAGCTGAGAATCTGAAAACTGCATTACACCCCGAATTCTTAGAAATCCGCAAGAAAGTAGGAAATTGAGATGAGGTACCAAGTATAATCTAATGTCGGGCATCCCCTTTCCTCATTACACCGAACAAATGCACACTTCTTACCTTTTCATATTTTTCCTTCAGCTTCGCAGCCTTCTTCTCATAAGGCTGCTTGTCATCTGCAGCGGTGTTATTCCACATCTCTCCCAGTTTCTTTGCAACATCACCAATGGATAGGCCAGGATGTTCTCCTTTGATTTTTGGGCGATACTCAGAACAAAACAAGAAAAAGGCCGAACTAAAAAGAGAAATTTAATTTTAAGTTTACTATGGAATGTGTGTTGTCCTGCTATATAAAAGCTGCTGCTGATTTCTATCAGGCACTGGACAGGGTGCAAATATTAAAATATGCTAAATACCCTTTACAACCAAACCTCCATTCACGGCTATCTGACTTAGTTGAACATGTACTATTAATAAATGCAAGAGCTCCAAAAGCAATTCTGTGAAATTTTAAGTATTTCGGAGAGATGGTATTTCTCAAGAAGCAAAACAAAGTTACATTTGGGAGACAGATTAAGTGAGAAGGCCAATGTCTAATTCAAATGCTCCTCCCATTCAACAGGAATTCTACTTACAATATCCAAATAGACCAATGTAAGGCACTTACCAGCTAAGAAACTTTTGATTATACACTCCAAACCCACAAGGTGGCTTGCTAAATTTCTATCTGATTCTACTGCAAAACCCTCCTGGAAATAGGTAAGATACTCACGGAGGCCTCTTGGGTGCATTGGGATCCTTGAACTTCTTTTTTGTTTCCCCTTTAGGGGGGATATAAGTTTTCATTTCTCTTTCATAACGGGCCTTGTCCGCCTTTGCCATGTCTTCAAACTTTCCTTTCTCTTTAGCAGACATGGTCTACAAAAGAATCATTTGTAAACTGAAATCGGTAACCCAAATCCTACTAAATTGTCGCAAAAGTACTAACATGACTAAAACCGGCATCCTTTGCCATGTACTCACTCAGCAGCCTGTTCTAACATCCCTACTCACGCTATGCAAACGGCACCGAGGCTTTTTAAAGACTGATTTGGATTCAAGTTTTTAAAAATCCCTCAATTATGTTTTAAGCCCCCTTACCTTCCACCTCTCTGAGCACTTCTTAGAAAACTCTGAGAAGTTGACTGAAGCATCTGGGTGCTTCTTCTTGTGCTCCTCTCGGCAAGTTTGCACAAAGAATGCATATGATGACATTTTGCCTCTCGGCTTCTTAGGATCTCCTTTGCCCATGTTTAATTATTTTCTAAAAAGAGAGAAAAAGAAATGGTTGA